CAACAAATAGTGGGATTGACCGTCACTTTATAACGCCCCCACGGCTGAAAGGGCGAGCATATTTGGTGTAATGGGGATTCGAACCCGCAGAATGCGAGTCGAGCGCCCTAACCACCTGGCCATGCCGGGCCTAAATGCCATAAGAAAAGAACGGTTGAAGTATGCGGTTTCTGTAAGCAACACCAAGCTATTTGTTCATCAGAGTCATTACCCTGAACACACAACCATTTCAAAACTTTATTCTTAGGCGTGGTAGCTACATCAACAAATAATGTCAAAAGGTTTTTATACACACGTTGTTATGTCTATTATAGGTTTATCATAAAATAATTTCTAAATCTGTATTTTAATATAAGGTTCACTTACGTGTTAGAACCTTTGTATTATCACGAGGAAGAATTTGGTTAGGGTGAAAATTAAATACCTACATAATATTATTTTTAAATAATTGTTAAGTAAAGAAAAACACATTTAAAGATACTTACTGAGTGATAGGATACTTAAACCAAAATATACTAGAAAAACTCTGCTGTATAATTCCATCATGATACAAAGACGTCAGGTAGTGGAAAATTACTGTCCTTCTTACAGATGCTATTTATCGACAAAGTTTGAAAACTAATTTTGCTTTTACTCTACGTACTTGGTGTACTAAACGTCTTGTGCATTGTATTAATCTTGACTGAGATAAACCATTTATTTTGGCAGGTCTAGCAGTATATTTCAAGAAAGAATTATGTTAACCAATACTCTGTTTTATCAGCGCACGTGCTGTTTCTTTGTAAAATCGTATGCATCACAATTCAAAGTCGACTCACAACCGTAAAACCCCGTTGACGTCATAGCCACATAATACGATAACTAAGACTATATAGAGCTGATAGATAAGAAATAAAAAAATCGAACTTGCTGGTTCAAAGACATCTATAAGCATATTTCTTCAGAGACAGAGTACTAATAGATCAAATTAAGTTTCCTCCAGACTTCTAATATATCAATTTAAGTTTCCTCCAGACTTCTAAAAGATCAATTTACGTTTCTTCCAGACTTCTAATACATCAATTTACGTTTCCTCCAGACTGCTAATAGATCAAATGTTGTTCAGTAAACCTAGGAAACTTAAATTGATCTATTAGAAGTCTGGAAGAAACGTAAATTGATCTTTTAGAAGTCTGGAGAAACTTAAATTGATCTATTAGTACTCTGGAGGAAACTTAAATTGATCTATTAGAAGTCTGGAGGAAACTGAAATTGATCTATTAGAAGTCTGGAGGAAACTTAAATTAGTCTATTAGAAGTCTGGAGAAAACTTGAATTCAGGCCGAATCAAACTGCAATACGCAAAAAACCAAAACCAAAAAAATCACTTTCTAAATTTAGTTGAAAATTGTGTGTTAATTTATCGCATTTTAAATTACTGATAGAAAGCAAATCTAAACATAAAATGGATAAATCGTTGTTTGTCAATTTATTATTGTATTAGCATAAAGCACTTCCGTAGACAAGTACAAGGGTGTGAATAACTATTATTCAGTCAATAAATGGGATAACCACAGGTTCAACTATATTTATTAAAACAAATTTTTATATCCAAAACTGGAACGGCCATTAGGTCAGTGCAATAATATCTGCAGAATATTCTATATTTTAACTTGTCCTAAGGCCACTCGTAGAATTGCAAATAGTAAGTAAAGATGACAATCAATGGTAAATTTACCTTTATTTTGAATTGAAGTAGATGAGAATAAGAATTACTAATGACTTTCTTCTTTCGTGTTATTATATTTTAATTAGAAAGTGATTTAACCTTTAAATCTTCGAAGTTTGTTATAGCGTTCATTATGGGTGGTTGGCATATTGCATCATATTGTTCAAACGACACTTGTAGTAGCCTGATGGATAATTGAAATTACTACCTAGAGATGGCGCTCAATAAATGTTTCATTAACCTTTCATTGGAACTCAACGTGATGCGAATAAAAATTATATGAATAAAAGAAAGTGTTTTAACCTTGAAATTACCGAATGGTTTTTATAGAGTTCGCAATTGTATTATATTAAGTAATTTTATGTGTTGTCTGTTTATAGCACACAGTGGAAAGAGCCAACCCAAACTATACCAATAATCATTAGTGGGATTAATTGCAATATCTATGGTATTTTACGTCAAAATTTTCTGTGTGAATCATATGCTATTAAGGACCTTCTACCCAATAAAGTTATGGACTCAAGGAAGTTGGTGCGTAAATAGATTAGAAAAGTTAGTTTTCAAAAATTTATGGGTCTATCGATAATTCTAGAGTTAAAGGCCAAATTATATTCAAACTTTCGATGGTCAGTTCATACATGTTGGATTGTAACACAGTCTGTCGAGATCGTGGAATACACTGTTGGTTATATTAGAGTGATAACAGCTGGTGGTGGGAGATAAGTTAAACTTATTATGCTGTTGATTTGTCATGTTTGAATTGTCAGTTGTCTGGACTCTGTTACTTCTAGAATTCTTATTACCAAACTGCAACTATAAGTTTAATACTAAATGGTCAGTGCATTATTCCCAAGAGTTGTCAGACTTAACAACAGCAAGGATATATAAGTAGAGAGCTTCCGTTGCTCGCAACTCGCTTTGTGCAGTTGGACCATGTTGTGACATTACATGGCTGATGGAAGAAACAGATCTAAGTAGAGAGCTTCCGTTACTCGCTTTGTGCAGTTGGACCATGTTGTGACATTACATGGCTGATGGAAGAAACAGATCTAAGTAGAGAGCTTCCGTTACTCGCTTTGTGCAGTTGGACCATGTTGTGACATTACATGGCTGATGGAAAAACAACGCCCATAATTTACACTCAAAGGCAGACTACGTTTTGGTTACTTGCCAAATATAATCTTACATTTTATTTAGTTATAGATTTAGCTTGCGTTCAAAAAATCAGGAAACAGAAAAGGTAACAGAATAATGCTACCGAATTAAAGCGTTGCACGGAATCTTAAAAGAAACATCAGTTGAAAAGACCTAAAGACAGTTTCAGGAATTAGTGGAAGAATGAATTTTCAGGAACTTTGTAAAGTGCATAAATTATCTCAATAGTGTGTTCATAATGTGCATAAAACAAAGCTCAACAATATCGAGACAGTAATTCATTGTTTGATATTTGATGTACAATTTTGGAAATAATTAAGAAAATACATAAACAATACACATACAGAAATCACAAGCAAAGTGTAATGGCACCTAGTTGGCGAATTTATTAAGGGTACAAAACATATAAAGGACAGATAATACATAAGAAACAGAATAAATTGTACAATGCACTAGTATTTTGAATGTGAGCACAGAGCATTACATTTAGGTTTCAAGCTGGCATACGGTTTATTGATTTACGATTGTGAAATAATGTTCGAAATGTTCTGTTACTTTTCACCCTTCAGTCGGGAGTTTGTCACATTTTGACCTTCTTAGTTTTCATGTAAGCTTATACATCCTCGAGAATGCTCATTTCGGTATTTTATGCAGGTAAAACTATGTATATGAGTGTTCTATAGGCTTCTTTATCACAAAACATCATTTCATCACATTTTCTGTATGCTTGGGATCGTTTTCTTGCTGGAAGATGAATCACCACTCGATAAGTCGTGATCCTGTGGGAATGGTATGATGGATCAGAATCGCCCTATACTTGCAAGAAGTTAAGGTATAATCAATTTTTTGTAGATCACTGACACATTTGTATGTGATGAAACCACTTACTTGTAGTGATCCACGGCCACACTTCACAGTTTCACATTGACTATGGTAACATTCTCCTCTTCATTGTGGTTCAATACCAATTTCAACCTTCTGGTTTGGTTAACTCTTCTCAGCGCAGATTTTAACCAACTACACATATATTGAGACCACTTTGCGCTAATGTCTGTCTTACTGTTCTCGAGGGGCCAGTGATATCTATATTTACAGCGACATTGTTGACAAGATCAGTGCTCCATAATCGTCTATCTCATAAAGAACATACTTTGAAATACTGGCCATCACTTTTGGAGAGTTTCAGAATTCTACCTTGATCACTCATAGTATTAACAGTTTCATGTATTATTTTCAGAGTCTTGCATAAAACTCATACTGAACATGAAATATCGCTGCAATATATTCGCATAAAGTATTCTTACTCAACTAAAATTTTGATTTCTACACGCTTGTCATATGGTATTTCATTTCGGGAATATGAATGGAATAAAACTGAGACTACAAGGTATAATATGACTGCCTGTACTTTTATACTGGTGTGACACTTTCTGATTGGTTGGATAACAACCAATCACATTATAAAATATTAGCGCGTTACTTTACTCTTGTGCAGTTCGTTTTCATACGATAAAGAGGGGTTATTTTTGTAGAATTTGGTGTTTATACTCCTTTGCCTCACAGTTTCTATAATTATTTCAAATACTGTACATCTTTCTGTACGCCATGAGAAGTCAGTAGGATAGTTTAGTAACTGATAGTGCACAGATTTATGACCTGAAATGAAACCACGACAACGTTAATAAGTTTGTTCTAAGAAGGCCTAAGAATATTGTGCTGCAGGTATTAAAGTAGAATACCGTATTTTTCGGTGTATAAGACGCAATTTTATTTTGAAGTTTGTGGGGGAAAGCTACAGTCGCATTTGAAAGATTTTTTGTTAAACAAAAATTCAATTTGATACTT